GGAAACGGTGCAGCTGTCCCGCGTGTCCGGGCATGCGGTAGTCGAGCTGTTATCGGCCGAGGTGCCAACGGCCACCTGGCACTGCCTGTCGCGAGAGGTGCACTGACCCGAAGCGCATCTGAGGCCGTCGCCGCTGCCGCACTCGTCGCCGTCGGACTTGTGCTGGTCGTCGGGACACTTGGCCGCGTCGCCGGGACACGTCTCCTGGACGTCGCACTCGCCAGTGCTGGGGCGGCACACCGTCGAAGAGGACGCGAACTGGCACTGGTCGTTGCAGCAGTCCTCGTTGGACGGGTCGCATACGGCATTGTTCTTGAACTTGCAGGTCTTGGCGTCGCAGCAGCTGTTGTTGCCGCAGCCCTCGGCGCCGCCGCAGTCGCACTGCTCGCCTTCTTCGACAATGCCGTTGCCGCACTGGCTGCCGGTGATGGTGGGCACGTTCTTGTTGTCCGTCAGGCAGTTCGACAGCGCTGCCGCCTTGAGGCTGGAGCAAATGTTGCCCACGCTGCAGGCGGAGAACTGGGTGATGCCGGTGCCCGTTGAAGGGTTCATTATGAATTTGCCCGCAGCATCGCAAGACTTGGCAGAGAGCGGGCAACAAGCCTGCGAAGATGGGTCGACGGGGCAAGTAGAGCTCGTGCAGTCGTGGACGGCGCCAAAGGTGTGTCCCGATTCGTGGGCAAACACCTGCCATTCCGTCGAGGTCCGCACAACGACGTTGGCGCCAGCGACGGTCTCGTTGTGACCTTGGCCGTCCGAGCTGGTTCCCGACCCCTGACGGCAGACCTGGCTCCTCCAGGCCAGGCCAACGGCGGCGTCTGTGGGACAGGTGGTCAGCAGACTCCAGTAGGCGTTGTTGTCGAGGGACCTGCCGCGCCAGGCGGAGAAGAGGTTGAGTCGATCGCTGATGGTGGTGTTGTCCGAACAGCCTACGTTCCAGGGCGTGGCGGCGGAGGGGGCGCCTGGGCACCCGCGATCGAGGACGGTCAAGTTTCTGATGCCCAGCGAGATCTTGAATGCACTCTCGTACACTTGGGAGGCTTGGTTCACCATGCCGATGACGTTCTTCCTAAGTGCCTCGGATGAGTTGAAGCCGTTCCAGTAGGTACAGTCGGTAGCAATGCCGACCAAGGCCACCTTTTTCGTCGTAGGGCATCCGGCCGTTTGCCCA